GGTTACATTCTTTAAACTTAAGTAATCTGGAACACTGGGTACTTAATACCATAAAAATAAAATCAATATTGTAAAAGATTCATATGTTAATATGAATCTTTGACAATATCACGAGATGGTTTTTCTCCCAGATGTATCAGAATCAACCGGCACTTTCCAAAGGTTATCACGTGGCATTGCTTCTTCTGCATCATCAAATTGAGACACAGACGGCAATTCACAAAAAAAAGGCAACAACTACTTCTTGCAGACGTTTCAGCCTACGGTTGTTAATATAAAACGTTTTATATGTCAATTGTTAAGCTATCTGGGCTGAATGTTGTACCAAATAATTTCTGCAAAACTTTAGAAATTATTTGGTATGAGTTTTTTTTCCAAAACATAGTGTCAATAAGCAAAGTATTATTTTGTCTTGTATTGTCTCCAATTTGACAAAAGCCTCATTCTTGGAACCTTTGTCAAGTTAGTCTAGTTTTTGACACAACATCCCGTTGTGTCAGAAACTAGACCTACGATGGTATTTTTAACACTCTTGAATCAGAGTATGGGTAAGAGTTGCCTGGGCTTTCCTAGTGCCATCAGCTATGACAGGAACACTAGATAGTTTAACTTCTCCAAGTTGGCAATTTTGCAATCAGAACGCAAGTCTCTCATGTTTTTCAGGTACATTTTTTTGTCCCAGTTAAGTTTGGCGTACTTTGGTGCAGTAAATGATGCTTTTATATAAAGATCTCTTTCAGTTCAAATTCTCTTCTGGTACTTGACTTTAACAGTGTCATTCTTTTCTGATATAACTGCAGACATCAACCCTGTTCTCTGATCAGCTAACAAATTCAACTTATCAGCTACTGTAGATATTTTTACACTTTTTAACTTTAAGAGTTTTTTGGAAGCTAAAGTGTAACTGTATCTTTCATCTTTGCCACACTTGTCAAATTTTTTTCTTTTACATGATATTCAAACTCCTTTTCTTTTGTTAAATCAACAAAACTGCTATCAGTACTTTCATTTCCTAGTTGCTGACTTGAAGATTCACTAATCGTTGAAAACAGGTTTTTGTTTGTTTTGCTTTTGATCCTTTTTCTTCCCCAAGAATACAGTATTAGAATTTGTTCTCTTTGTTTTACTTTTTTCATGTTTTTCTTGTTTTCATTTTTTTGGTACAAAGTCTGTCGGTTTCTATTTTCGCCTGGACATCTTGGTGTGTTATATAAAGTACTTTTTTAACTCCTCACTAAAATATTTTCTTTTTCTTTATTCAATTTGCACCCTCCTTCTTATGCAGTGTCCTATAATTACTAAACAGTGTAAAAATCTTAAAAGTATCTATAATTACTAAACAGATTAAAAGTCTTTAGGTTGCATATTGATGCCGGTTTTAGCCCTCGGCTGCTGAACTTAAATAACAAATTTGTCTTCCATAGTACAATTACAACAGATGCGCTTCTTGTGCTTCATTAGTCCAGCTTTCAAGAAAAAGAAAAAAAACAATATATTTTTTTTAAAGGACTCTGCAAACTGGTAATTACAATTTGAGCTTTTCTATGAGCCAGATATCATGGAAAAAAAAAGCCGGTAACAATTTTACAACAACTTTATTTTTGCCCTTGATTTCTGAAGCACCCTATATATATATATATATATATATATATATATATATATATATATATATATATATATATATATATATATATATATATATATATATATATATATATATATATATATATATATATATATATATAGCTAAAAGATTATTGTGAATTATGAAATTTAGAATTTATGGATGAATAAAAAAATTTGTTAAAGAAAAGATGATAAGATATTTTATCAACTTGTAGCTCACGTTTGGGACAGTTGTGGTCGAAATTTGAGGGTTTTTTTTGTTCCCCAGTCTCCAATCATCGCAAGTTTTTGCAAATCGTCTTTATTTCACATAAGTAAAGCATGTAAATGTTTGGAGTTTGCCCAATGTCTGGAAGATAGCTTAAACATCAAAAAATGCTTGATCCGCCTCTTATATATCATACATAGCTACCTAAAAGCATATTTTAGTCTTTCGTATATTACTAAAGCAGGCAATCAGTTTCCAAAAAGTCTTGTAACATAATGTAAGAGACAATATTAATATAAGTATTGTTTAGCCATTATAATGGAACACGAATAAAACAATCGTAACAAAGAACTTGGTTATGATTGATTTAAACTTAGCCTTTCAAACATAAGCCATAAAAATTACTAAACTTCTTATCAAAATTATTTGACCAAATTTAAAAAAAAATCTGAAATAAACTTCGGCTGTTCGTTATTTTCAATCATCTTCATAAAAGTTTTTTTTAAAAGTCAAAAGTTGACTTACAAAAGGTCCAAAGGTTGATTTGCTAAAGGTCCAAATATTCATCGGAACAAAAACGTTAGATGTATTTGGAATTTTTTCGACTTTAAAAGCTTAGTCGAATGCAAGATATTGCTAAAACAACGTCAAGGTCAAACTGGACTAAAATAAACTGTGTTAAAGTGAGTATTTGTGTAAAATAAATGCTTTGAAAGGGAATAATTGCTTCGTTTGCTATTCATGTCAATTAACTTTTTGTATTTGAAAAAGTTAAAGTTGTGTGTGTTGTGCAGAGGCGATTCTAGGAATAAAATGCCCCTCATTTTAGAGGGGCATTTTATTGCTAAATTGTTTTATTTATTGTTTGACACATTTCAATCTAATGAATTTTTTTTGAGGACTTTTATTTTTTGTTTTGTAGGAAGCAGTCGGTACCTTTTAAAGATTATCCGCACCCCCTCATTTTATTCCTAGAATCGCCTCTGCACAACACACACACACATAAACACACACACACACACGTACACACATACACGCAAAAGAAACGCTTTTTTATTAAATTTATTTCTAATCAAAGTATAATATCTATTTAAAACATAAAAGTTTTAGAGGGTATTAAACAGAATAGAAAGTAAATGATATTTAGAAAGTAAATCATGCCAATTAGTCTGAATTACACGGTTGAGTTGTTTTTTTTTTTTCTAGCGAGAAATAAAGCATGATTTGCAAGAGTAAAAAAGTTCCATAAAAAGGGTTACTATAAATTTTTTTCTTTACAAAAATACAAAAAGTTAACTTTTTCAAATATATATATATATATATATATATATATATATTATATATATATATATATATATATATATATATATATATATATATATATATATATATATATATATATATATATTAAAATAAACTATATGAAATTATTATCATTATCATTAAAATGTTCGGTATGGTTTAGAGGAGAGCTTGCTAAAATTACTTCAACACTATGACAACTTGATGTTCTTTTATATGTATAAAACAGATTTAAAGCTATTATAAATGTTTTTTAAAAAATAAAAAAAATGAAACTTTTTTAAACAACGGATTCTTTCAAAAAGTACTAATTTTTGAAGAATCTATGCCTTTTTAACACCTTTTTTAAAAAGAAATTGATAAAAAAATTGTTAAAATCTAAAGGTGGTACACCTCTAAATTTTAGAAAATTAGAGGTGTACCACCTCTAATTTTCTAAAATTTAAAAAATTTTTTTTTTAAATAATCCATCAAACACACAACGTCTAAAAGTTGTCTTTCGACAAAGTTATCAATTGAAAGACGTCTTTTAGACGTTTTCTAAACTTGATGTTTTGCTTTGTTTCTATAGTAACGAGCGGTATCTTTACTTTTGTTTAATATTTTTAAAATTCATTTTATTAAAATTAAAGAATTTTAGATAAAAACTAAAAACTTTTGGAGACAACCTTTGATATGGTTTATAGCAGCATATTACACACATAATAAATTTAAAACTTAATGACACTTTTAAAACGCAGTTTTTTTTTAGAAACAAGCTTTTACCTTTGAAACACATATAATGTGGTATGAACTAGAGGATGTAAGTCAATTTTAAGAAATCACTAAGATATTGCCAATCGTGTTATATGAGTGGTGCAAGTACATTTTTACTTGAGATTCGCAAGTATTTATTAGACTATCTATTTTATCAACATTAGCATGATCAGCATAATGTTAGCGTAATGTAATGTGTATATTAAACTATAAAGTACCTATATGACTTACACCACTCTAATTCTTACTAAACTACTTACACCACTCTGATATTTACCAGATCATCCACCACAGCAACCATTCTATATTTGTAGTACTGTATATCGTGTGCAATTTATCTGAATACTCACTATATTAAAGAGCCTAACTTTACTTAATATATGTAATGTATAAATAATAACAAATATTTATATTATACATATTTATTCTTTATATATTGTTATTAAATGTTTGTTTTCTGATGTAGATTGAGATTGTTATACATAATGATAAATTATTCTGTGAACTTTTGAGTTAAAAATATTATCCAAATAAAGTTAAACAAATTTATAAAATTATTATTGAAATTGCGCAAACTTTAAAAAAATAGCGCATGCGCTTACAATTAATTAGGTATTACCGTTATTCATGATTTTGTGCGCAAAACTTCACTGGGTTTGAACACAAACGTAACGAAACAGCGCGTTTGAAAAATTTTATGCTAAGCTTGATTGATCAAAGTGAATAAACCCGCCAAGTGATCGCATAAGCAGATCAATGATCTCATCTTGCGTCTAGCTGCGTGAGCATAACTGCCGAGTATTTCAAAGCATTAAATTTATTCTGCAAAACATTGCATTTATATAACACTACAAGGCAAGCAACATCAACGGAAGGTTGCTGCTTTAATGGTATTGAAATTTTATAGATAATTTGTTTTCATTTATTGTATATCATAATGCTTAATTGGTTATTTAAGAAAAAAATTAAAATATTGCTACTCGTCCTAATACAACTATTTGAATAAATTTGGTTGTTAAAAGAACTATTTGTCTACATAGTTATAAAAGCTAAATATTTAGTTCTACAAATGTTTAACTATAGATCATAATGTGATATTTTGGTTTAGATGGATAAGAGGATCCTTGTTCTCGTATTTGCCGTTGTGGCTTATGCCTCCGCTAAGTCCGTTGATCGTAAGTAATTTATTGTTTATTTATTTATATAACTATGACTTTCACGCATTAAAAACTCATTATAGTTAAGAATTAGCATCCTAACTCTCGGTTCTCGGTAATATTGAATACTTATGAAAAATTTAAGTATAAAGTTTTGTTACAATTGTTTAAAACTAACAGAAAGTTTCTTTTACTAAATATCAATAAATTTATACTGTAACTAGCCAAGTAATAACAACCAAGTTTTAGGATGCTGAAACTTAATAGTAGTGCCATTTTTACACTTTCTACATGAAATTTGTTAAAAATTTTCTAAAACCTTTCTTAACGCAAAACAGGCATTGACTATATTTTTTAAACCAAAGACGAAAACTAAAAATAAGATAAAAAACAAAAATATTTCGAATTGATGTTTTATAGGTCGCGATGTAAATTTGTGCAGTGGAGCTTGTCCCGCCACATGTTCCCCTTCTTGTCTACCCTCATGTTGTTCAAAATCTTTTATCCAACCAACTAGTCCCTGTGGCTCTCCCGGTGTTGCTATTTGCCCCGATAGCGTAGAAAAAAATAATACTCCAAGATCTCCCAACTGCAATCCTATTTGTGGTCGTCATTGCATGAAAATATGCCCAATGGAGTGTTGCGCTCCTCCCCCTCTTCCACCTTGCCCTGCGATATGTGAAGCGAAAACATGCCCAACCCACTGCATAGAAAAATTAGCTTATGCAAGTAGATCCTGCACTTGCTCTCCACAACCATGCATTTGTCATCCACAATAAACTATTAAAATATTATAGACGCAGTTAATAAGAATTATTGACAAAGTAACACACTTTATTAGAATTTAGAACGTATTGTTTTGGAACTTTTTTTGGAACCAAAACGTTTTTTTTTTTACTTGACAAATCAATTGTTATTTATAGTGGTGAAGAAATCCGCCATGCCGTGTGGCTGCACCCCAGCACCTGCATGCTGTGCTATGCTTCCACCACCCCCACCCCCACCTCCACCTCCATGTTTCTGTGCTCCACCACCCGCACCATGTGGATGTGGAATGCCAGCTCCAGCTCCATTACCTGGACCCCCTGGTTGCCCTGGTCCAATGGGTCCACCAGGTGGACCAGGTTTCCCTGGCTCAGTGGGACCACCAGGACCACCGGGAATGCCAGGGTGCACGGGACCTCCAGGACCCCCTGGTCCTCCTGGCCCACCTGGTTTACCTGCACCACCTGCACCCCCACCTCCACCAATCTGCATTCATCATTGCATGAAAATTTGTCCAGCAACTGCTCCAGCTTGTCTTCCTATGGTACCTGGATATGTTCCACCGCCACCACCACCACCACCACCACCACCACCGCCACCACCACCACCACCATGTGCACCAATGCCTTATCCATTTCCATGTTATGCATCACCACCACCTCCTCCACCACCATGTCCCCCTCCACCAGCACCATGTCCACCCCCAGTAGTATACCGTTTGTGTCCTCCACCATGTCCTCCCCCACGACCACCACCACCACCACCACCACCTCCTTGCATGTGTGCGGCACCACCATGTTACTGTGGAAAATAAACAACGATTTGACCTTTGGCAACTGACGGACAGAGACAGACACAAGATAACGGATATGTTTACATTGTAAATGCCAGATTTATAATTTTTGTATAATTAGTGATTTATGAAAAAATTACTTATATATAAATAACTTGTATGCATTTAATTTCTAAAATTAATTTATTTGTATTTTAAAATTGAATGCTTCGATAATTTAAACATGCGCAAGTTTGTAATTAGTGATTAGAATTAGAGAAACCACAGAAAGTAAAAAAAAAAGTTTGTTGCAATTGTAACTTACTTAAACAATGAAAACTTAAAAAAGACTTGAAATGCATGAAAAATTAATTGAAGGGTTCGGTTAGAAAACTATATAAATCAGGTGTACACTCGCATGATGCACTTGATTTATATACGCACGCATAGACATATATTTAATTTTATATAGGATCACGACGATCTCCATGCACATGCTCCGCACCACCATGTGGCTGCCAAGAAATGCCCATGAGCGTGATTAACATTCCTAGTTGCGGAGCACCACCATGTCCACCACCTCCAATTTATATACCTCCTCCACCACCTCCACCACCAATTCCTGGTCCACCAGGTTGCCCAGGACCAATGGGCCCTCCAGGAGGACCAGGTATGCCAGGACCACCAGGACCACCCGGACAACCAGGAGGCCCCGGATGTTCTGGACCTCCTGGACCTCCAGGACCTCCAGGACCACCAGGAATGCCAGCACCACCAGCACCCCCACCACCACCAATTTGTCTGCATCACTGTATGAAAATATGCCCTGCACCTGCTCCAGCTTGCCTGCCTCCACCACCTCCACCACCACCACCACCACCACCATGCTACTGTGCTCCTCCTCCATGCTATTGTGGTAAATGAGTGCACGAATTCTGATCAATCTTAAACATGTACATGTGCTTATATGTATTATATAATTTGCTTTGAGATAAATATATTAAGTAATGTGATTATATGCACGCCTTATATTTTGCTCATATTTACGCTTTATTTTGCACGTATATATTTTTAGTAGTTTATATATAGTTTAGTACTCAAAGTTGTTTAAAATTTTTTCTTTTGTTTACTGATGTTTATATGAAATACATAAGCATTACAAACTAAAATAACTTTAGCTCAATTAAATTTTAATGTATCTGTGAAACTAAAGTTATGGCTATTGCCTAGAAAATATGTCAATCTAATAAACTTGAAAAAAAACATATTTACAAAATATACATTATGATATAAGTAATTATTTTTAAAATTAAAAGCAAAGATTAAAATAGCTATTACGTCAAAACAATCAGTTATGTCGTTTTTATTATCATTTTATATGTTTATTTTGTTGATTAAAGAATTTTACAATTTTCATATAAAAATGTAAAAAATAAGTAACATCATTACCTTGATATAAAATTCTTATTTTTTTTTTTATAATCAGAAGCTAAGGATGATGTGTTTATTGTCATAATCTTTTCATAGAGCCTTGTTGTAACTTTTAATTTCCAAGCGCAAATGCTAGAATTGGTTAATCATATTTGTATGAAATAACCTTATTCAGTTTTTGTTTTAAATTTTTAAACTCGCTGTTTTTTAATGTAACTACGTCTCACTTGTAACAAAATCCAAGTTTTACTTTGTAACTTTGTTAAAGCATGTAATTTAATGTTAAAAACATCTAAGTTTGACCACGAATAGCATTATTAAAAAGATTCAAAACTACTATAAAAAACACGATTAACGAAAAGATAACCATAAAGATAAACAGAAAATATGCAACCAATAAAAAAATTCATTTTCTCAACATATATAAAATAAAAATATATAATATTTTTATTATTATTATATATATATATATAAATATATATATATAATAAAAATAAAAAAGAACTTGCATAACAAAAATCACGGGTGTCTGCCTTGAAAAGTAATAATAATAATTTATATATAATAATAATATATGCTATAAAATCATTAATGATAAAAAAACAAAGGAAGCTAATTATTTCATTAAACAAGAAAATCCGCAAAAAAAAAAAATTATGCAGAAAATTGAAGAGAGAAAGGTAATCTAATTTCAATAATCGTAATAATAATATAAAATAAATACTTGATAATAAAATTATATTAGTAAAATTTTTTTTGAATATTATCGGTAGTCTTGGTTACTATTAGCTAAGTAAGCTCATAGAATATTTTTTTTATAAAAGTTAAATTATTTATTCATTTTTTTTCTTATTCTTGATAAAACTAATTTTATTCTTCTTTTTGGAAAAGATCTTTGCTCTTTTAACAACACCTAAAAATAATATATAGTTTAATATATATAGTATATGAATATATAGTGTATACAGAACTTTAGATTTAAAAAAATAAAACTTGACGATCTATATATTTTTAGAACTCTTTTTAGTTTTTCTTCTAACATTTTTCAAAATTTCGGGATATTTACGCATACGCACAAGCAAAAATTTGTTTATGTTTTAGATTAACACCTTAAAATATTTTAATGAAAAAATGAATAAATTAACGTGAAAATCTTTCGAAACTATAATAGTTCACAATATATGAATTATTTGTTTTTATTTAGTCGAAAAAAGATCTCCATGTGATCCCGGCTGTGGCGCCGGATGCGGTGGTATGGGTGGTATGGGTGGAGCTGCTGGAGGATGCGGCGGAGCAGTTGTTCAAGAAATTCCAATGTCTATAATCAATCTTCCAGCTGGACCAGCCCCACCATGTATGCCACCTCCCCCACCCCCACCACCACCACCACCACCATACCCTGGTCCACCCGGTGCTCCAGGACCTATGGGACCACCAGGAGGCCCAGGATGCCCAGGTCCACAAGGTCCACCCGGACCACCCGGAGGCCCAGGAGGTCCAGGTATGCCAGGACCACCAGGACCACCAGGACCACCAGGAATGCCAGCCCCACCAGCCCCACCACCACCCCCAATCTGTCTCCATCATTGTATGAAAATATGCCCAGCTCCAGCACCAGCATGTGTACCACCACCACCTCCTCCACCACCACCACCACCACCAGCCTGCTCTTGTTATCCACCACCATGCTACTGCGGTTAGACAGATCTAGTTTTCCTTTTTACTTAATGAGTAACAACGAATGAAGCTGATACGGAAAGAACTCTCAAATTTTGCTGTTTTGGATGTACGACAATAGCCTCAGCTACATATATATGTATTTTTATATATATATCTCTTTGACTAACAAAACAACAAATATATGATGTAAAATTAAATGCATTTTTTTTTTATTTCCATTAGCTTTTTAATGGGTCAATCTTTAAAGGTTCCCATATCTGGTTTAACTAAAAGTATTTTGGTCTTATATTTTTAGCATATAAATTATTTAGAATAAATATTTTAGTCCCGCAATAAATACTTACGTTAGGCAATACAAATTTACGTTGGGCAATAAATAATTTAAATCTATAAAACTTTCCAGACATAAAATTTTTACTTATGTTGTAACCATGGTGCATAAATAAGATGATGCAATTTTCATCTTGTTATTTTAATCAATGCCATATACAAATTTAATATTTAAATGAGTTTATATTTATATTTATAACTGCCTACAAAAAAACAAAAAAAATTGTCTGAACAATTTTTTTTCCTAGATAATGTTACATAGATAATGTTATATAGTTTATAGTTTACTAAAAGTATTTCTAGAAAATTTTTTATTAAAGGGACATGTATATAAATATTTAGTTTATGTAAAAAATAAAATTAACTTTACTTTAGGTTGGAAATAAAATAAATACCAAAATATTAAATAATTTCAATCGATATTATTCAAAAAATATATTTTTTGCTTTATATCAATCATTGATTTGCGAATTGTAAATTATGTACATCAATAATTAGCAACAACATAAGCTTTTTTAATTGATAACATTTTAACGATCGATATTTGTAATGAATCTCTTAAATTGAGTGTTACAAAAAATGACGTTTTGGATCATTTTTCTTTTATCTAAATAAGATTACCAAAATAATAATAATAATAATAATGATAATAATAATAATAATAATAATAATAATAATAATAATAATTAATAATAATAATAATAATAATAATAATAACAATAATAATTATAATAGGGGAGAGCGGGGTTGGTTGTCACAACGTTTACTACAGGAAATGTAGAAAAGGTTTAGAACTTTAAAATGATACAATGGAAAATTATATAAAAAAAACATTTTCACTGTAATTTACATCTTTTTCTAGTGTGTAGAATAAAAGTTATTCGTTTTTATAGGTTTTTGGCATGAAAAAGTAAAATTTTGCCCACTTACAAACTTTCTTTTACAAATCAAAATGTATTTTATTGTGTTTTGAATGCTTATCTTTTAAGTTTTTTATTGATTTGAATAACTTAATCCACAAAAAATTCGAATGAAATTTGCACGCTTTTAGGTAAATTTACAGGTGTCTTGCTACTTACATAGAAGGGGTTGCTTGTCACAAAATATATGGGGTTGGTTGTCACAATTGCCTCGATTCCGTGTACTGTAAACTATATGCATATAGAAGATATTCCTTGTTTATTTATCTGAATTCATTGAGGATTATTCGAATTTTAAAGATTTTAATTTGAAAGTTTAAATTCAAAGTTTGTTTAATTTCAATCTTTATATTGTCAAATTGTGATCCAAATAAATATTTAATTATAGAATAAGAAATACAGATGTTCTTTTGAATATACTTTTGAGTATATTCTTTTGAGATGTTTTGTGTATACATTATTTGTAAAGCAGGTCCAAGGTCGACATCAAAAAGAGGTAGGAAAAAGCGTTCAACTATGATTCTTACTAACTCACCTGTCAAAGCATGGTTAGCTAGTCATAAAAAGACAAAAACGAAAAAAAAAAAATAAGAAGAACCATAAATCATTAATGAATGAAAGTAAAAAAGAAATGATAAAGTCAAATCTTGCTGCAAAAAAAACTTCTTCAGTCATATTTATCTGAAGATGAAGAGTATCTATGCACCTATTGTTTTGAATCATTTGCTAATAGCAGATCAAGAGAACAGTGGATTCAATATCAGGTTTGCCAAAAATGGGATCATGAAGAGTGCGCACCAGGCTTACAACAGTTTATTTGTGAATTGTATTCTTCATCCAACAGTTTATAGCGCTACATTATATGTGTTTAAAGTGTCATTTTACAAAAAAAATTTTTTTAGTATACAGGATTTTCTTTTTTTTTTAAAGATTTTTCTTAGAATTATATAAACGAAATTAAATTGTACTTGTTTTACTTGAGCTAGTTATAATCAAAACATAGAAATGTGACAACCAACCCCGTGGGTGGGGTTGGTTGTCACACAGAAGTGGTCTTTGATAAGCGATTTTACAGCAAAAAATTTTCTCTCAATGTCTTATAAAATATCATAATAGGTACAGGAAATAGTTAAACTACCTTTGTGCAAAGTTTGGCATTGATTTAATGAAAAATAAAAGCTGAGCAGTCTAAAATGTAAAAAGTGTGACAACCATCCCCGTTCTCCCCTAATAATAATAATAATAGCAATAATAGTAACAATAATAATAATAGCAATAATAATAAAAATAACAATAAAAACGAATCTTCGTCAAACACTTTTTCTATGAACCAAATTTAGAAATATATAAGGATCAAACTTTATATAATTGAAAACTCTGCATTAGATGCAAATAATGTGTATGACGCATTTTACATAACATTTTCTAATAACTATGATGCAAGCTTTTCAAAAAAAGAAATAACTAAATAATAAACGTCTTAGGTCAACTTGGATTAATAAGATAAGATTTGAGGTACTCAATAAGATAAGACCTCAGAAACTCTATAACATAAGATCTGAG